GGAGTGGTTCTGTAATAAATTTAGCTAAGGCAACAGAACAACTGCAAAGGTGGAGGGGTTCTTTTCACACAGGAAGGAAAAATAATTCGTTGGTAGGGAGTACGCCAATCCTGTGGTGAACTGGAATGTTTTTAACACATATGCAGTGCAGAATTAAAGCCGTGATCTGAGATGTGATTTTTTTGCTGCAACTTAGAAACCTGCAGGGCTCCTGTAACCTTAAATCCTGTTACACAGGATTATGGACAAAAGCTAGAATTTTGGGAAACTTTAACGTGGACATAGCAAAAGCCTGCGACACTTATCACATATTACATTCACTAGTTTGTTATTGCCCTTCAAGATTATCAGTGCCTGCCACAATATATGTATTGGATCTTTGGGCAATCTCTGACCTCCCTGAAGAGAGGGGCACTGGAAGAACTGAAGGAGCAATTAAATGTCCCTGTGGTTAGTGGCTGATAAATCAGCAGAAATCACCAACTATGACAAGTTCTGAGCAGATTTCTTTGGAAACCGAGCCCTGAGGCAGGTAGTAGGTCACTGACTGCGTTTTAGGCGTCCATCCACGCACATATGAAAAGAACAAACAAAAAGGGAAGAAAACAAGCAGACAGTGTAAGTATAGCCCTGGAAAATGGCCAGAGAGAGCATACACACTGAGAAAGGCCTTTACACCAAAGATTTCTGTTTGTTTTAATGCTGAGTTCAAGGAAGCAGCATCCTACGCATATTCTTTGCAAAAGGACAGGATTGCAGTAAAATTTTATTTTGGCTTCACTCCTGCCCTTTCTGGGTATTCGCAGCCCGGTTTTGTTCTGGACGCCTGCCTGGACGCCTGCTCAGCTGGGCCGCGAGGGGGGGTTACTTGACGCCTGCTGCCGCAGCACCTGTCCCCTTCCACCCCTACGGTCACCTCTGTGAAGAAACGGCCCTGAGGGGGGCAGGAACCTGCAAAGTGCGGGAGCCCCCAGGGGCACCGTAGCCCAACCGGCCGCCCTCAGGGGCTATGGCACAACACGGGGGGACGCGGAGACCGGCCCGCTGGGCGGGTGAGGCGGGCGGTGG